CCTACTCATGCCACTTTTGTTCAATATAATATTAGAAATCCTAGCCGCAGAAATCAGAGAAGAAGATAAAAGGAATCCAAATTGGACAAGTAGAAATAAAACTGTCACTGTTTGCAAGTGACATGATACTATACACAGGAAAACCTAAAGATTCCACCAAAAAACAACTATTAGAACTAATAAAAGAATTCAGTAAAGTTGCAGGATACAAAATTAATATATAGAAATCTATTGCATTTCTATATATGCTAATATTAAACTCAGAAAAAGAAATGAATAAAGCAATTCCATCTACAATTGCATCAACAAATAAAATACCTAGGAATAAATTTAATCAAGGAGGTAAAACTATAAGACATTGAGGGGGAAATCTGAAGACAACACAAATAAATAGAAAGCTACATCATGCTCATGGATTGGAAGAATTAATATTGTTAAAATGATCAACATTTTAACACTCCCCCAGATCATCTACAGAGTCAATGCGATATCTATCAAAATACCCATGGCATTTTTCACAGAACTAGAACAAATAATTCTAAAATTTGTTCAAAAGAACCCAAACAGCCAAAACAATCTTGAGAAAGAAGAATTAGGCTGTAGGTATCATGCTCTCTAATTTCAAACTATACCACAAAGGTATAGTAACTAAAACAGTATGATATTGGTATAAAAATGGACACACAGATTAGTGGAACAGAATAGATAGACCAGAAATAAACCCACCTTTATATGGTCAATTAATCTACAATAAGGATACAAGAAAATACATGGAGAGAAACAGTCTGTTCAACAAATGGTGTTGGGGAAACTGGACAGCTACATGTAAAAGAATCAGACTGGACCAGTATCCTACACTATATATAAAAATAAATTCAAAATGGATTAAAAACTGAAATGAAAGACCTGAAACTATAAAACTCCTAGAAGAAAACAGACAGTAACCTCTTTGACACTGGCCTTACTTAGCAATATATTTTTGGACATGTCTCCCTAGCCAATGGTGACAAAAGCAAAATAAACAAATGGAACTAAACAAATGGAACTATATCAAACTAAAAGTTTCAGACAGTGAAGGAAACCACCAACAAAACAAAAAGGCAATCTACTAAATGGCAGAAGATATTTGCAAATGATATATCTGATAAAGAATTGATATCCAAAATATATAAACAACTCTTAAATTCAGTATCAAAACATAAACAGCCTGATTAAAAAATGGGCAGGGGATCTAAAAACACATTTTTCCAAATTAGACAGATGGCCAAAAAGTACATAAAAATGTACCCAGTATCACTAATAATCAAAGAAATGCAGGAAATACCACAATGAGATACTACCTCACACTTGTCCAAATGGCTATTATCAGAAAGCCAAAAAAAAACAAGTATTGGCGAGGATTTGGAGTAAAGGGAACCCACAAGCACTGTTGACCGGAAGTGTAGCCGTATGAAGTTTCCTTGAAAAACTAAAATTAGAACTACTGTATGATCCAGCAATTCTACTTCAAGGTATTTATCTGAGGAAAATGAAAACACCATTTCAAAAAGATACATGCATGCCTATGTTCATTGGAACACTACTTACAAGTAATAGCCTAGATATGGAAGGAACCTAAGTGTCCATCAATTAATGAATGGATAAAGAAGATGGTGTGTGTGTGAATACACACAACAGAATATTAATCAGCCATAAAAAAGAATGAAATCTTGCCATTTGTGGCTACATCGTTGGACCTGCAGGGTATTATGCTAAGTGAAATAAGTCAGATAGAGAAAAACAAATACCATATGATTTCCCTTATATGTGGACTCTAAAAAAACAAAACAAAGGAACAAACAAAACAAAAACAAACTCATAAATACAGAGAATAAACTGGTGATTGCTAGAGGGGAGGGGCATGGGGGTTGGACAAAATAGATGAAGGTGATTAAGAGGTACAAATTTACATTTACAAAATAAATAAGTCTTGGGGTATAATATATACATAGGGAATATAATCAATAACATGTTAATAACTTTGAATGGTGACAGACGGTAACTGGACTTAGTGTGATCATTTCATAATGCACAGAAAAAAAAATCAAAACACTATGCTGTATACCTGAAGCTAATTTAATGTTTTTTGTTAGTTATAACTCAATAAAAAAAAAAGTTGAAATACAGAGTCATAGAACTTCAAGATAGGCAAGAACTCAGAAGTCATTTAGTCCAACTCCTGTATATAAAAGAATCCCCTCTACAACATCCCTAAAAAATGCCTCTTCATTCTCTCCTTGAACCCTTTCATGGTAGTGAACGTAACCTCTCTGCAATGCTTCTGGTAAAAATAAACGCATCTTATTGCATTTCAGACTGACCTTCCACCTTCTATAATAGTTATTTTCAGCTTTGCAAAACATACCTATTTGATTAGTATGAGTCATATGTCCTTAACCTACTTTGTGTATAAAAGAAGAGAAGAAAAGGAATTATGGAACATCTAAGGTTTTTCATTTCTATTTATCTTTCCACCTATATGCTGTCTCTTTCCAGAATGAATCTTAAATGAAATTACTTAAAACACCTGGGTGCAATAGCATTATTAAAATAGAAATAGAAATTCATGCAATAGTGTTATTGAAATAGAAATAGAAATTCAAAGTTCTGAAATGAAATTCTTGACTCAAAGGCTAATGCAGTTGCTGGCACTGAAATTAAATTTTTCAGTGGGCTTTCTACAAGTCAGGACAAAAGGAGAGAGTGGATTACAGTTCTCCTTTCTAACAGAAGAAAGTATACTAATTCTCCATTAAATGAAAATTTTTCTTAGTTCTAAAATTGTAAGAGGAATTTCTCATGTAGCGTCTTACGAAAGAGATTCATTTCTTAGTTTTCCACGTGTGTTCATTTTTGTCCTCTCATTTACTACTAAGAAAAGTGCTCAACACCCTTAAACTTTTACAAATCTCACAACTTCAATCCAAGGCTAACCAATCTTTTTAAAAACCCTTTTGCATATAGGTGACAAAGCATAGGCACCAGATAACAACTTTTCCAAAAGGGGCTATCAAAATCACCTTTTTGTTTGTTTGTTTTTGGTCCACATTCTGGGGCAGCAGCTTCCAAATGCCCAACTCTTAGTAGATGGGAACAAATGAGAAACTGAGTTAATCTCTCCCGTGGCATTACTGTCATTCCTTCACCTCTTGCGGAAATGACAGTTGGGTTATCACCAGGCACAAAACGATGTCCCAGTGAGCTGAGAGGGGGTACCGAGCATGGTGTGGAGAGTGCTGTGAGGGTCTGCCTGAATGCCTGACAAGACTTTGGATCTCTCCAAAGGCAAGCGACATTATGTGAAGCAAAAATGTTACTACAGCCGGCCCTGCTGTAGGAGGTAAAGTGAAGAAGTTGGAGTTTCTCACTTGCTCCTAAAACATCCCAACTATTTGCCCAGGGCAGGCAGTACAGACCCCTGTGGCCTGAAAAGCTACCAGTGGGCCAACTGTCCTCCTGTAGGTAAGGCCCCTGGGGTTTTCTAACACTTCTCTCCATCCTGGATTGAAGAATGGGTGAGGGAGGTGGGGTAACTACACAGTGACCATTTCGCCTTTGAAGGCCTTTGTAAAGGTACCCAGAGCATCAGGAAAGGCCCTGAGTAAAATTATATTACTTTTCTCACAGTGATTATCACGGTTGTTTAGACTTTACCCGGACTACCTGGTTCCAACATTAAATTCTAAATAACTAAGACAGAGACTCCACCTCCTTCTCCACACCCCCAGCCAGGCCTAACTCTTCTCTATGGCTAGAAAAGGCACACCTGTAATCTGCGTTTCATCTGTCCAAATATGTCAGGTCATTTATTATTGTTATCACTGTGGAATCTGGAGTATATCAAGGGGTCCCTTGAGGCCAATAAGCTAGATTCTATGCTCACCAATTAGCTATTGTAAAATGAACGTAATAACAGTAAAAGTAACCTCCATATGGGATGAGGCTATTTGTACCCTGGACCACAAAATGTATTCATGGTGTTACCATGGAGAGAATGAGAGAAGTTTCTAACTTATTCTAAAGAAGGCATAGATACACATTTAAATTAGTAACCCAAAACAAATAACTTGGCTCTTTACAGAATTAGAAACAAACTGAATACACTTTGCTTAAAGCTAGGACAGTATAAGGACATAGCAGTAAATGCTAATATATATGCTGAGGGCTGACAAGTGCAAATAATCATGCTGATCATCATTTCGCATCACAGTTTATTATGACACGCAAGAAATCAAAGGCAACACTAGGCAAAAAACAGCTACCAACAGCATCATCTTCTCATTTTTAGCCATTCTACCCTGCAAACCCCCTTTTTGATTATCAGGGAGCCTGGCAATAGAGGGTAAAAGTAATAATAATAATAAAAGAAGCCTATGCATTATTGGCTAATTTTTAAATGCCATACAACCTTGCAGGAGAAGCACCAGTTGAGACAAGTACATATTTCCCTAGAGCATTTTAAAATATCCTAAAGCGTACATAATACACTGGTGAATGGTTGTCTCCCAGAAAGCTCTCTGCCTTGGGAGGCTGAGTAGCACAGACACCCTGGGTGGAAGAAGTTGGCATAGCAACTCTGCATTTACAATGGTGAATCACAGAGTGAAGAGCCGCATAAAGCAATTACTAGAATGTGTTTGTTTCTCTACAAAGTGGTTAAATTGTGTAAAGCATTTTTTGGCTTCTCATTTTGAGAAATACAGACTCTTCAGTCTAATAAATTAAGGCAATTCAGTCGCTGAACAGGAGAGGATATTCATGGCTCATGGGAAGATTTATTCCCTGTATGTACCCTGTTAAAAATAAGGTGACATTTAGGCTAAAAATAAGTCATTTCCCCTTCATAGTAGACACAATTCTCCATTGACCAGAAAATGGTACCGAAAGATAAGCTGTGTTTGTTAAAAACAAACAAACAAACAAACAAACAAAAAAACACTCCAGAGAAGAGAAATGCTTACCTCTTGGCAACAGGACCCTTAAAATCCGGATCATATGTTCTTGCATCACCTGCATTTAAAACAAAGAATTTTCTAAGCATCCAAGCCAATGAAATGACAAATTAATACATATAAAATATTAATAAAGAAAAAGTTGTGTCTTAGCTAGTCCACTGCTCAGTGCAGTGTTGAACTCATTCTTTGGTTCAGTGAATACCTTGGTTACAGCTGTCAATCATTTTCCCCCTTTCCAGCTAGAAGCAAGTCTGGGAAGAGCTGGTAAGGACCATATTCTATGTACACTGTGTATACATTTCCCTCTGTTCTGAGCAGCAGCATTATAGATTGCATCCAGGAGAGCAAAACTTGAAGCTCTTCCAGTTTGCAAAAAAACACTCTACCGTCTGCCACGCCCAAGCAGTGCTGAGTCCTTGTGCGGTGCACAGTATAGCAGAGATGTCTGTTTACCCCAGGGCTCCCTTTCCTTTCAGTAGATTAGGCTTTCCTTTGAGAAGTTGGAATACTAGTCATTGTTGGTCTCTGCCATTTTGGTTACACAGTATATACCAGTCATTATTATATTATATAAATGTTACCTGTATTGGCTCATTTTAGATCTACTGGCAGACTTCATGCCATTTGAAGAGATGCCCTAGTCATTCATTGCTGCATCATGATTGCAGTGTATTACCCTTGTGTTTAAACAGTACAAAGTAGACACAGAATGACCTTTTCCCCCCACATGTACTGAGCAGGCCCAGTAACGAGTTCTGCAAAATCGTCTCTGGCCAAAGGTTGTATTTTGCAATTCTCAACCCTCTGACACTTCTCCCCCAACTGAACGGCTCCTGTCCCTTCCTCTAGGGATTCGTCCCTGTAAGAAGCCTGCCACTGAATTAAAGACACAGTTTCAATAGAGACTGGCAAAAGAGAGGCCTGTGTGTCAGCAACCTGACCCCGCCTGTACTCCACGAGGAAATCAGATACAGGATTCAGAAGCCTCTTCAGTGTAATCACAAGCTGAAGGCAGAACAACAGGAAGGTAAGGGCAGACTTACAACAGAAACCCAAGAGCCAGTCAGTCAGCAAATATTCATTAAGTACCTATTATATGCTGAGAGCTCCGAGGGGCTACAGAAGATATATAAAGCATAGTCCCTTGGAGACCTTACGGTTGGTGGGCAAGATCAACCTACTGATTAATTCAACAAATATTCCTTTAGAATCTTTATATATCAGGCCCTGTGTTGTAATACGTGAACAATGAACATTCTGTATAAAGAACTAAATTGTATGGTCTTGGCCTTAAGTGTTACAATAGTTAAGAGAAAGTAGGTTTCATCAAGGACTAAAACAGTCAAGAGGGTTTTATTCAAGAAGTGAGATTTTTGTGAAAGACTGGAACAAAACAAAAGGGAAAAGAGAAACATTCAGACTGGGGAACCTAGAATTCTGCTAAATTCATTGTCTATTGATTACCTGTTATGTGCTCTGCATTGAAAGAAACACTGCAGGGGGTTAAGTTTAGTGAAACACAGTCTTTGTCTTCAACAAGCTGACACAGTGGCGAGCAGGGAGAGAAATAAGAAAAGAACACAAGTCACTATCATACAAAGCAGAATATCATCTCATAAAAAAGTCCTAGGAATGTCCTAAGGAAGGGAAGTTCACATTCAGTTGAGGTTAGTAAGGAAGGGTTCCTAGGCCACAATATTTTAAGATGGACAAGTTTAGAGACGTATGAACTCACAGAGTTAGGAATGAATAGCATGTTTGCAGGGATGGTGAAAAGATCAGACTGACTGGGACATAGATAATGGGACAGAAGGAGGGAAGATATAAAGCTGAACAGATACTCTGCAACCAGGCTACAGAAAGCCTAAAAAATCAGGGATGGAAGTTATTTTGTACATCCTAGGCCACAGGGAGCCATAGAAGGATACTGAACAAAGAAATGACATGGTAGAGGCAGTGCTTGATTAAGGAAGGAAGTTCTTAATTAAAGAAGCAATCTAGCGGCAGTATGTAAGTTGCCTGACAAAGTACTAAGTCAAGGAGACCAACTAATAGTCTACTGGAATAAAAGAGGTGAAGTCACGTGGGCCACAGTCCATATGGTGATGGAAGTAATGGAAAAAAGATATTCAAGGCTCATCACAGAGCAGTCTGTGTCTTAGGGGTTAGGAGCAATGGCTTTGGAGACAGACTGCCTCTCTTCACCACTTACTAGCAGTGACCCTGGACAAATCATTTCACTTCTCTGAGTCTTAGTTTCCATATTTGTAAATGGGGATGATAATAGTACCTATGCCATAGAGTTGTCATGAAGATTGAATGAATTAATACCTGTAAAAGGGCTTAAAACAGTGGCTGGCACTTAGTAAGCCTCCAATGAATGGTCATTATTAGTCATATAATTACATGAAAAAGATAAAAAGAACTTGATGAATGGTAAGACTTTGGGTGTAAAAGAGAGAAGTCAAAGATGGCTCCAAATAAAGAGATTAGAGACGTCGAAATTGTGATTGTCAATCACTTCTGGTCTTTTACCTTAGCTTAGGAAAGGCTGATGCTATTAAAATAGTCGAGAAGGTTAGCAGGGGGAAGAAATTGTAAAGTTGTAAGAAAAAGAGCATGGGATGGATTTGGCTTTTTTTGAGTTTGAAGTGACATCTAACTGAGAGTCCAGTTTTCAACTGGAGTTAGCAAACTGAAGTCTTGGGTCAAGTCTTGAGGTAAGTATTTGGAAGTCATAAAGTTTTCACTTGAAACGTGATAAACTACATAATGACGATGTTATTCTAATGACAGTAACAGTAGTATTTAACACATTTTAGCATTAAATGCTAAACACTGTACTCAGTGCTCTTACGCATTATTTTACTTTGAAAAATAACATTATTACGTAGGTAGCTTGGAAACTAGCACTAGCCTCACTTTACGTATGTAGAAAACAAGGCACAGAGAGGCTGAGGAACGTGCCCACAGTCACCCTTGTGGTAAAGGACCCGTCTGGGACCCACACTCTGCCGGATCTTATTGCAGCAGAACAGGTCTCGCTGGCCACACCCTGCAATGCCAGCATCGGTTCCTACCCTGGGGGCAGAGAGTAAAGCGCTTCCTTTTTGAGACAGTCTGTGTGTACTTCAGTTTTCTGACACACTGCTTCTCTTTTTCTGACAACTTGTCTGACCTGCCTCATGGCAACAATACGTCTCAGGGTGTCTAGTCACCCTTTCTTTGGGAACTGACTTCCTATCTAATCCACAGGACTGGTGGCTGCCAAGTTTCTCCCATGGTCTGTTCCCTGGCCACCAGTGACTGGATTTGGCTTGGACATTAGATCCCATTATTGGCCACTCTCTCCCAGGAATTAAGAATTAGAATGGCCAACGCATTAGTCAGTGGAAGATCAGAACTGCAAAATAGAAAGCTTGAAGACCAGGGAAGGAGAGAAAGCAGGCTTAAGGAAAGAAATTACTGAAGCAGATGTACAAATAGAAGCAGAGATGGAAATCCTGATGGACTTCAGCTTTCTGTTCCAGTCCCCACCTAAGGCTCAGGGTGGAGTTTCATGAGATACCTTGAATCCTTATACTGAAGTCTTTTGTCTTCCTTTTTGCTAGTTCATATCTGTTATAGGCAATCAGAGTCCCACTAATATACTCACACTCTTGACTTAGGGTTCCAACAATTCATTTTAACAACATTTATTATATTCTTGGAAAAAAAAATGGTGGTGGGACAAAGAAGAATATGGGAATGAATATGTGTGTGTACATACATGACTGAAACAACATGCCGTACACCAGAAATCAACACACTATAACTGACTATACTTCAATTAAGGAAAAAAAACTAGTGC